CCCCCATCCCCCGGTACTGGGAATTGAACTCAGGACATTGCGCTTGCCAGGCAGGCACTGTGCCGCTGAGCTAAATCCCCAGCCCTGGTATTTATTAATTTTTTTTAAATGTGGGTGCTGGCGACCAAACCCAGGGCCCTGTGCATGTAAGGCAAGAGCTCTACCACTGAGCCACATCCCCAGCCGACTTCTTGGTATTTCACAGTACCTTTTCCTTTCCTGAGTTACGAGGGTCTCAGATTTGGGTTTGGAAGCAGAAGGCTATGCCATCTAGAAAGCCAGGCTTGAAGCACTGCCATAGGTGGTCAGTTCCGTCTTCAGCGATGGGATTTGAGAGTAGCACATAGTGAGTCAGGGGAGATAAATTACTGGCTCAGGGAGGTGCCAAACACAGAGCTGCATGTCAAGGAGAGAACAACTGGAAAATATTTCTGTTAATACTGGAGGCAGCTGGGCTTGGTGGTGCGCACCTGTAACCCCAGCACTTGGGAGGCTGAGGCAGGATTATCATTGCAAGTTCCAGGCCAGTGTGAACTACAGTGAGATCCTGTCTCAGAAAAAGAAAAACAAGGGGGCTGGGGATTTAGCTCAGCGGCAAAGCGCCTGCCTGGCAAGCGCAAGGTCGTGAGTTCGCTTCCCGGTACCGGAGAAAAACCAAAACCAAAAAAAAAAGAAAAAGAAAAACAAGACACTGGAGAATGATAGCCTGAACAGAGGAAGAGGGTTCTTGCTGTAAGTTTAAATTATGATGCCCAAAGGAGGAGAATGGTGATAGCAGCTGCCCTGGGGCACCTCTGCCTGAGTTGCAGTGATTCAGAGGTTGAGGTGGGTACTGTGGCATGGTGCATCCTTGAAGGTAGATCTGGCCAGCTTGATAGGGGTGCAGATCTAGCTCTTCTGAGAAAGGTTGGAGGCTAGTGATGCAGCTCGGGTTGAATGTGTATGAGGCCCTGGGTTCAAACACCAGCACTAGGGGCTGGGGATTTAGCTCAGCGGCAAAAGCGCCTGCCTGCAAGCGCAAGGTTGTGAGTTCGGTTCCCGGTACCGGAGAAAAACCAAAAAAAAAAAAAAAAAAAAAACACCAGCACTAAAAAAGAAAGTTTGGTCTGTTACCAAATATTTCTGGGAAGATTAGAAATAGAGGAAAAGAGAAGAATACAAATATTAAGTTTAAAGTAGGTGGTTATCCTGCTACCTGGGTAAACTCCTGTTAACTTTCTCTTCATTTATATGTTCACAGATTTTTTTTTTTTTTGAGACACAGTCTTGCTATGTCGTTCAGGCTGGCCTGGAGCTCACCATGGAGCCCAGGCTGATCTTGTTGCAGCGATTCTTCTGCCTTAGCCTCCCAAGTGCTAGGATTACAGTGGTGTGCCAATGTTCACAGATTTAACTGTTCACTTCCCAAGCAGTAAATCCCAGGTATTTCACCTGTAACTTGCACACATCCTCAATATACTTATCAGAATCCCTTGGCTCAAAAGCCAGGAGGAATGGAATGTCCTTCCCCATCTTGCTGGCTGAACCCTGCTGTCTCTGCCTCTGAGTTTGCCTGGAATTAATTATTATTGAGGCAATAAGTATGCAGAAATCACCTGGTGACAGCTCTAGGGAGGCTGATGAACTCAGAATCCCCAGACAGGTGACCCTGGGGAGCCAGAGTGTGTTTGGTAAGTGGCACCTCTGCCATGTGTTCATGTGTATGGGTTTTCTGGTCAGGACAAGTACTGTGGGAAGCTGCACATAGCTACAGGACTTTGCATGCTAGGGAACTCTATTTGGTCTTAACATTTTGAAATTTGGAAGTGTTTTACAAAACAATACATTTCATGGTATTGTTCATTGGAAACTTGGAAAGGACAATTGATAGCTTGTCTTACAATCACCCATCACTGAATCAAGGTAATATGTCTTGTGAATGTGGATTGAACCCAGGGCCTTGGGCATGCTAGGCACATGCTGTGTCACTGAGCTAACATGTCCTTGCCCTATAAAAGAAAAAGAAACTAAGAAATTGAAAAGTAGTGCTGGGGATATAGCTCTGCAACACAGTGCCTGCCTGGCAAGCACAAGGTCCTGAGTTTAATTCCCGGTACCCCCCCCCCAAAAAAAAGAAAAAGTAATAGTTTTGAATGTTGTAAACATCTTCCTATTCTATTAACTATACCTCTTTTTTTTTTGTTTGTTTGTTTTTTGTACCGGGAATCAAACTCATGACCTCAGGCTTGCCAGGCAAGTGCTTATGCAGCTGAGCTATATCCCTGGCCCTATTAACTATACTTTGAAGACTACGCTTTTTATACAGCTGTATAATATTTTGCCCTAAGGGTATAACAGTTTGCTTGGCTATTGTTTGTATGTTTGTTGATAATAGGGCTATGTAGTTCAGACTAGCCTTGAATTCACTGTGTAGCCAGGGCTGGCTTCAAGCTCCCGGTGATTCTCCTGCCTCAGCCTCCCAGGTGCTAGGATTAAAGGTGTATGCCACCATGCCTAGCTCCTGGCTATTCGAAGGGATATCTTTTTAGAGGCAACATTTGGGCTCTCTTGAAACCTCTTGCCTTGGTAGGGGTCAAAGGAGAGGTAGGTGAAGAGGTAGCACATGCAGCTGGTGGGGTCTGACCCCACCTAGAGCATCTTCCAAGCAGTCCACTACTGGCATGTCTTTTCAGTTAAACACAGGGCAGACAGGTAGCATGGCAGAATGGTATTGGCTGGTCTCTCTCTGTCTAAAAGGGGTGTCAGGCCACCTGCATTACTTAAACTTACAAATGTCCTTCTCAAGTGGGTATCACTTTACTACCAAGTGTACTTCATTGTTTCATGCTAAAATGCTAACATGATTTATATTCTATAATTGAAAAAAATCTGCCCTGGAAAATACTGCTTTAGGTGAGGTAGTTTGCTCTTAATGAAGTAATACTTTTTTAAAAAAATCTTGTTAGAAGGAAAAAATAAGTTCTAGCCCCACTCCCCCCTCCATGTTCCCCACCCCATGGGGCTGGGCACTGACCCCAGGGGTGTTCTCCGAGCCCTTAAGTGCATTTTACTAATGAAGACTTAAAAGCGGCTAGAGTTAAAAAGAATGAAATAGATCTGTTCATAGTGACCTAGAAGGATATCCAGTTTGGACAGAGTAAAGAAAGCAAGTTGTAGAAAATAAGTATAGTGTTTCTTTTTTGACATAGATTTGAGTGCCTTCTGAACGCTGGGCATTGTATTGGAGGGGTGTGTGTATGGCATAACTCTTGCGCAGAGAAAGTGCCCCATGCCTGTCCCAGAACAGCACAAGGTAACAAGGGGGGCAGTGAGGTAAGGGACAAGTGTCCTGTTCTGCCCCTGCTGTGCAGGACAGCACTGTCTGGATTGGCGTGCTGACCCTGCAGCCTCTTGGCACTCAAGTCACTGCCCTCACTGTGGCTGCTGCGTGGCCCTGTTGGGACTGCAGATTATCTGACATCCCCAGTGCTTTGCGCACACCCTGCTCTCTAGAAAGTGTCAGGTAGACAGTAGCTGTCACAGTTTCATGGTGTCATTTTAAGTTGTGTAGGGAATTGGGCACAATGAGGTTCTAGTGGTAACAGACATCTGAAGTGTCCCTGACCCGATGGTGTCCTGTTGTCTTCTCCCAGGTATTTGAGAGACAGCTGCAGCTGGCTGTGTCTCTAAAGAAGCCCTTGGTCATCCATTGCCGAGAAGCTGATGAAGATCTGCTGGACATCATGAAAAAATTTGTGCCCTTCGACTACAAGATCCACAGGTCAGGAGACTGCAGCTTCAGTGGCAAATGAAAGACCTGACTCTGTCAGGACTGCTGGCTGAGGAAGAGGAGAGATGAGGAGAACCGTGATGGATTGTGTCTTGCCTTAACTGTTTTCCTGTGTTGAGACCCTGGAGGTCTGAGCCCATATCATGACTTGAGCACCTTTTCTACAGAACGGAGTTGAGCCATGCACAGTTTCTCATCTTGCCTGCTGTTTTTTGTGGCACCTGGCTTTAGCTGACACCCTGAGTCACTAATGCGCAAGAAGGGGCTTTCAGTTCTCAGTGTGAGGACTGTTGGTCCTTTTGGGTCCAGGGGCTTAGCACACAGAACATTCAGGGCATCTCAAAAAGATGGTTTTTTTTTTCCCCTTTTTTAAAATTGAAAGCTCCTTTTCCACAGTTAGAATGAAAGTGCAGGATGTGTTTCACCTGACAACATGTGGGGTTCCAAAGACGTTTGGTGAACGCCTTCGGCTGCCTATGTATGTCCTGGGCATTGGCCTGGCTGTGGGGATGGCCAGGGTAGCGGGGTCAGTTGTGGCTTCCATGTACAGGGTGTAGGGCTGATAGCTAGGTGTAGGTGCTTATTCTGGCTGGAAGAGCCTGAGGGGTGACAAAGGAGGTGACTCGTTAAAAGTGGGTTCATTAAAAACACAGGGATAGAGCTGCAGCCTCTGTGCTGCTGCCTTCGGGGGGCCCAAGCAGAGAACAGAGCAAGCAGTGGGGCTGAGCACAGGCACTCTGCTCCTTGGGCTTGAGCAGTGCCATGTGGCAGGCTGACCCAGGTGAGGACGGCCACAGTGGTGTTGGAGCTGAGGGAGGCCTTGTCCTCCCAGATGGGTTAGCTGTAATGTAGGGTGCGAAGAGCATGGGCAGCTGTTCTATGTAAAGAAAAAGGTCACCTCAGTCCATTCCCTATTTTTTTGAGGTACTGAGGATGGAACCCAGGGCCTTACACACTAGGCAAGCGCTCTGCCACTAAGCTATATCCTCAGTACTTTTGGTTTTGTGTGTACTTTTTTTTGGGTGCCAGGAATTGAACTCAGGACCTTGCACTTGTGAGGCAGGCACTTGTGCTGCTGAGCTATGTCCCTGGCCCCGGTGGGTACTTTTTTGAACTACATAGGCATGCTGGGTATGGTGGTGCACATCTGTAATCCCAGCACTTGGGAGGCTGAGGTGGGAGGATCCCTGTGAGTTCAAGGCCAGCCTGAGCTACATAGCAAGACCCTGTTCTAAAAAACAAAACAAAACAAAACAAAAAAATGAGTGTGGTGGTGCATGCCTGTAATCCTAGCACTTGATTACTCAAGCTGAGGCAGGAGGAAAGAGCAGGGAGGGCTACATAATGAGTCCAAGGCCCACCCGAACTGCATAGTGAAACCCTGTCTCAAAAAGGAGAAAGAGATGAATACATAGGCATAATTTCTGCATACTGCAGTTAGAACTTTAGAAGGGCCAGTTTTTAATTTTGTTCTCTTTTCCTGTTACAAGCTGTCCTGTGCCTGTGTTGTTACAAGTGGCTGTACAGCTAGGCGTGCTGGCCCACGCCTGTAAGCCCAGCACTTGGGAGGCTGAGGCAGGAGGATTGTTGAAAGTTTGAGACCAGCCTGGGCTACAAAGTGAGCTCAAGGCCAGACTGAACTGCATAGTGAGACCCTGTCTCAAAAAGACAAAAAGAAAACAAAACACATGGCTGTATAGTGCTGTGTGACATGGGAGGGGCTGCTGGGTATTGCTCGCTGTGCTTGCTGTAGGCCCCAGCTCCTCCTGTGCTCCTTGTAAAGTACATCCTGTGGGTGCAGTTACTTCATGGCTGTGATTCATTAAGGAAGTGCCTGTGGCCTGGAGCACCTGCGGACTGCTGCAGGAAGACCGCGGGCAAACATATACTACACTCTCTCTGCAGGCACTGCTTCACCGGCAGCTACCCAGCCATTGAGCCCCTGTTGAAGTACTTCCCCAACATGTCTGTGGGCTTCACTGCCGTGCTGACTTACTCTTCTGCCTGGGAGGCCCGGGACGCTCTGAAACAGATCCCTCTGGAGAGAATCATTGTGGAGACTGATGCTCCCTACTTCCTCCCACGCCAGGTAGGGATGTCTGTAGGCCAAGTTGAGGCACCAAGAGAGGGTGGGAGGTGGGTGGTCAGAGCCCCAGTGCCCCAGTGACTTCCAGGTCCCACCCTGGCTGTGCAGATGTGTCCTTGTTGTTACTCTGCAGAACCTAAAGTCCAGGGGGCAGAGAAGCTGAAGGGTAACCACTCTCTTCCAGGCAGTGCAAAGCCCTACCCTGTAGAGGGCAGTCCACAGAAGCTTGGGACCCTGCTCACCCAGAGCCCCCTGCTAGGACTCTCCCTGCACCTGCAGGTAAAGGGGGTCTCTGCAGGGTAGCCCCAAAGAGGTCCTTGCTGGGGAAGGGCTGGGAGGGAGTTGTGTGTCCAGCGTGTGCAGGAGATACAGCAATGTTGTGCACTCTTGATGTCTTCCAGGTTCCCAAAAGCCTTTGCCAGTATGCCCACCCTGGCCTGGCCTTGCACACGGTTCGAGAGATTGCCAGAGTCAAAGAGGAGCCTCTGTCCCACACCTTGGCTGCTCTGCGTGAGAACACCAGTCGCCTCTACAGTCTGTAAGCCTGAAGACGCAGCAGGAGCCTTGGAAAAGGTCATGCTGTTCTTATGATGTGCTTGTTAGACATCAGGCCAAGCAGGTCTTTGGCTACATTTTCTTAATGTACAGAATATAAATAGGGTGAGCATGAAGCCTGATTGTCTTGCGTGAACTTGGCTTGGAACCTTCTTCCTTTTCTCTTTCAAACCTCTAGGGTGACCAGCAGCCTGATGGAACATAGGCTGGGTCTGAGCTTTGCCTGTGTCTCAGGTCAAGGATGTGACTGCAGAGCCCATGGATAGAGAAAACCAGAACTGGACCTTGTCCTTGGAACTCCGTGCTAAGGCTTCAGCTCCTTGCCTGTGGGTGGGTGGGGTATGGGTGAGAGGGCTAAGGGGTTGCCCAGAATGGCATCTGGCTTTTTGCCTCTTGGTTTGACTGTCCCAGGGCAGTCCCTGGGCAAATGCCATGTGAGGGTATGTGTCTGTCAATACATATCCCTGTTCTTTGCAGCCAGTGGTTTTGAGCAGTCTGTGAATAAAGTCAGTCTCCTCATCTGAGCATTGTGGGTTTGTAACTCGGATCCTGCTTCTTGGTTATAGAAGCAAACTCACAAGTGGGGAGTTGGGAATGTTCACTAAAGAAACCACCCCTCCTTCCTTAGTACCTTCCATATGCTGTCATTGCCACCGCTGTTGGAGTGGAGGTGTGCAGAGGGCGCTCGGTGTCCATGGAGAATCCTGGGCAGATGGGCTCTGGGGGAAGAACCTTCTTGGGGATGAGGAACCTGTGGGAGGTGGTGCCTGCTTACTGAGGCTGCCAGGGTTGTTTCCAGGGTGTTAATTGGTAAGGGTTCAGTGTGCAGCAGAAGTACTTGCTGATTTGTGATATCATCCTCCATTTTTGCCACGTTCTCCTGGAACACTGCACCAAAACCAATCCCTCGTATTAAGCCTACATGACTGACTCTAGTGTGCCCTGCCTGTGTCGGCAGCAGAACTCATTCTTCAAGGCTCCCAGGACCGTGCTGGGCTACTTTGCCTTTGCATAACAGGCAGTCCTGGCCTTCTCCAGGCGTCTCCCTTGCCTTGTCCTCTCTGTCTTAGACAGAGCCTGGCCTACGACTTGCACGGCCATGTCATCTCAAGCGCAGTGCTCTGTAGTCTTCCTGCTGTGCCTTGTAACTGGAATTACTGTAGGCGCTAGAAGTCCTGGTGGTCAAGGAGTAAGTGGAAGGAGACTCCTGTACTTTGGAAAATGGTCCTCATCCTGACCTGCACCCTGGAGTCCCTTGTCTATTTCTTGGAGGCTTCTGTTAGAATCCATCACTGGTTGGAGTTTCTATCTGGGTATGAAGGGGGATTTGAATGTTGTGGGGCGAAGTGGAATAGATACAATATTTACTATCTGGAGTAGCCTGAGAAGTTGGCGTAGATCACTGTCCATCTCCAGTGGGTCACCTGTGCCTCAATTTTGCCTGTGTGGTGAAGTCGGAACTGGATCCGGAAAGATATGGGGGATGCTTCATATATCTGGTGCTCTATTGTCAGCCACGTGAACCAGATCCTGGCCGTCCCAGCTACAGTTCACACTTCTGCTGTCACTGCCTGTGCGCAACCAGTGTACTCTGTGCCGAGGGATCGGAAGTGACGACTGTGTGATGTCTCCCACCCTCTGCACTCCCAACAGAACAGCATAAGGTGCTGTCAGTCTGCTTTTTTCTCCAAGACAGCCACCTTGTGGATGCTGTTACACAGTGAGACTAGCTGACGACAGAGTTGAGGGCCTTGTTTCTTATTCTGGGTTTTGGGTGGCTGACTTGTTCTTGCTGTGTAGCCAGAATGCCTCTGTATGTCCCTGTCTTTGGCCATCTCTTTCTGAGAATAAAGTGATGGATCCTCCAGCCACCTCCTGTGTTGTCCATGTCTATTGAGATGTGCCTGAGTGATACTGGGTTAGTCTGGCTGTTGGCCAGCTTTGCACCTAGACATCTGAAAGTCTGAGACATTCTCCCACATTCCTGTCCCTCACAGTGCTGTTAAACGATGTAAGAAGAGCTGGTACGTGTGGAGGCACCGCAGCTCCCACTTCACTGCCCAGGAAGCCAGCTGCATTACTATGCTCGGCTACTGAGGAGCATGCAGACTGTCCCTTCTCGTTTCTCCAGAGCAGTGCAGTGAGAAGAAAAGTTCCTGGATGCTGATGAATCAGTAGTGCTAGGGTTTGGGATATGAACTCTGATGCCTCTGGGTGAACTTTGGAGGGCATTCTTTGTGGGAGCTTTTCTTGTCCTTTGGTCTAGGATGCATGCTGGGTGTGTGCTCTACCACTACCACCTAGCACCTGCCCTGATCTTCATACATGCATAAGCCATGGCCCTGAACAAATCAGAATTCCCAAGCCTGTGTTTCCTCCATGTTCTGTAACTTTGGCTTGGTTCCTTCCTGGTGGAACACATGGTTGACTGTCCGGCTCAGTGATTGGCTGTTCTTGGCTCATGCGCTACTCTGGGCTCTCCTGGCTTTGTCTTGTCCTTTTCCTTTTTCCTCTTACCACTTTTTCCTTTTTCCCCTTTCCTGTTTCACTCTGTAGTCCAGGCTGGTCTAGAACTCACTATGTAGCCCCCACTGGCCTCAAACTTGGTGATCCTCCTGCCTCAGCCTCCCAAGTGCTAGGATTACAGGCGTGCACCACTACACCCAGCTTTTCTGGCATTTTCATCTTTCAGTTGAGTGTGGGACAGATACTAACCATTTACTGTCAGCACTTTAGTTTTTGCATAGTTTTTATAAAACAATGGAAAGTGGCCACTGGGATAAGTGAGTAAACAGACTGTCAGCCAGAGCTGGTCAGCGGTGGCCAGTGCCCACCCTGTTCTCTTTGAGTTCTGTTTGTTGGTAAGTGGGTTCGGGTTAAGTGAGGTAGCTGGGATGGGTGTCTGAGCTTTTCTGTTCACACACTGTCCTGAGCTTTTCTAAGTGCATACCTCCAAGTGTGTGATACTGCTAATTACAAGTGTGTACTGTTACGCTAATTAGCACAAAGTGGAGGTGTTTTCATAAGGGGAATTTTTTTTTTCCAGCAAATGCCTTGATCACTGCCGGATACACACAGCCCACTCCAGAGACCCTTGGGTCAGGGTTAGTGATGATACCTTGGTGGTAGGACGCTTACCTGGTGTATGCAAGGTCTTGGGTCCCATTCCCAACACCATAACCAGCAAGCAGGATGTTCCCTGGGTCCTAGGCAGCAGGGCCAGGGAAGCAAGCTGGTTAGGAGGTGGTGGGGTAAGGCGGGTGAGTCCATGGTGTCTGCTTTGTGGCCTTGGGACATTACTGTTTCTCAGCACTAGGTTTCTCTCTTAGGCGTGCCTGGTGCGCAGCAGGGACGCAGGAAGTGGCTGGGATTCTCAGGCCTCCTCTGCCTCCTCCCTGGAGCAACTGTGCTTGGTCCTGACCAGTGGCACAGAGTCCAGTGCGGAACACTGCTGTGTGCACCCCACTGCCACGTGGTGCAAGAGAGATGGACTGCCCTGGGCTGGTGGGGGGCAGGGAAGTTCTTCTATTTGTTGGGGGATGGCCATAAGTTGGGGGCCTGGTCTCTGTCCTCTGCCCAGCCCAGTCAGTGGGTACTGTTGGGCCAGGCTCTTGCACTGCTTTGACTCAGCTGAGGCCGTAGATCCTCAACTTTCACCATGGTCAGTGAGTGCGAAGTGACAGTGGGGTGCGGTTGAGTTTTGGGGTAAGTGTGCCAGTGTGCCATGCTAGGTGCCCTAGAAGACGGCCTGGTTGGCTGGATAGGGAACGTCCTTACTCTCCTGCTCCCTTCGTCCCACCCCCCCACCTCACTGCCTGCAGATACCTTCAGCTGCTATATTCGTAACACCCTCCATCGGGTTATGACTGAGCTGGGGCTGGTTCTTGTGTGGGGAAGGCAGTGACACTGAGTTCTCACGAGTGTGTGTGGTTGGCTTAGAAAAGGAAGAGTGTGTATGTAATCTGCCCAAGAGTTGCCAGATAGAGTTGGCAACAGTTGAGGCCAGAGCAGGGGAGGTCAATGAGAGGCAGCAGGACCCCTTTTCCAGCTATTGCAGCTTTGCTGAGGACTGCTGGCCAGGCCACCTGGCTCTGCTGCTTGTGTGGTCCAGTTGCCTCTGTTCTGCAGGAGACATGGGGTGACCTGAGGGTTTTGTTCAGCTGTGGGTTGAAGGCGGGTGGGACCTGAGAGTCTGCAAGGGTGGTGATGGTGCCTGCTATATACCGGCTTCTCAAGGCTGCAGGTAGTTGGGGTTCAGGTGCCACCGGGTCCAACTAGTGTTACTGCACTGGGTGTGGGTGGCCTGAGTGTGACTCAAGGAGACACCTGGCCCCGGGGGCCCTCTGTGGTTTCCCCAGTGTGGGTGTTTACCCTGGTCCTACAGGCAGCCTGTGTGTTCACCTCTGTGCACCATTGCATGGGGATGGTGCAGTGGTATGATCCATCCCTCCATACTGGCACAGATCGACACTGCTATGCACAGCTGGCGCACCTCATCTGTCTCTCCCCAGAAGACAAGCTTCTGACCCGAATTCAGCCCTTTATCCACTGGGAGCTACAGGTGGAAATTGTTTTAGGGTAGGGAGCTATAAGTGGAAATAGTTTTAGGGTAGCCAGCTGCTATCCAGGAGGCCACCCAGGTGGCAGCCGGTGGCGCCACAGGAGGCTAATACTTTGCCAGGTCTTTGCAGTCCTGGGCAAGGAGGAAGGAGCGGGGTATTTCAGCCCTGTCTGATGACTGGTTAAGAGCCACTGTTGAGCACCTACTGGTGTCTAACTTCAAACTCATCCTCAGGCATTCTCATCCTGCTTGTTTCATCTTGATCTTGAGTGCATGTTGACTTTGATATTGTTGCCTAAGGTTTTTATGTCCATCCAGTGCCTGCTGGTTCTTTGAACTCTAGGTATAGTTTTGCCACCCTCAGACCCTCTGGTGTCAGTGAGCTGGTCTGTGTCCATCTCCATCTCCTCCCTCGTTTCCCTCATCCTGTTGCCCTCTCCAGATCCCTTCTGTCCTACGCCACCAGGAGTTTATAATTCCAGGCTTCCCTTCGATGGAGTAAGCTCCCAGTGTGGACATTTGGCTTGCAGTTGGAACCTTTATTTGCCTCTTAAATAGCACAGGGCATTGGGAGTTCTTACAGAAGCACTAGGGGGATGGGAGGAAGACAGCAGCCATCCTGCGGTGTCACTTGTCAGCAGGGGCCTCTGGAACAGAAGAGGTCAAGTCAGAGCTCCAGGGCCCATCTTGTAGTGCTCCACAAAGGTGGCTTCCTTCCACAGTGCTTCCATGGAGCTTGAAGTCGGGACCTGAGGGTCGCCTGTGACCTTGGGCAGGGCCCTCATCTCTGTGGCAAGTGAGCACTACCCTGCCCACCTCATGGTATGGGATGCATGGTGCTCGCTGAGCTTGTAAGGAAGGTACTTTGAAGGTAATTGTGCCTCCTTCATCATGGACAGATTTGAAACAAAACTAAAAGCCTTGCTTGTTTGGCTGTGGAGCCTGTTTGGAATGTTGTTGTGGCACTTGGACCTTTGCTTGAAGAGACAGTTATAGTTAAGGTACCTTAATGCTGAAGGGTGTTACCCTCTCACAGAAGCTCGTAGCACCATTGTATAATGAGGAAGCTGAGGCTCAGCTGGGCCAACCTGGTGCTGGGACTTTGAGGACAGACTTTGTGTCACCCCCTGGTGAACCACTTACCAGTCCCCCGCCTTCTGTGGCTGACAGCAGGGAGGAATTGGGAACTCATTTGGAGACACAGGTTTGGGAAAGAAAACTGTCTTCAAAGGTGGGCTTTGCTCCCTTTGGGATTTCATGCTAAGGACTTACCTTTGGCCTCTTCTCCAAGGATGTCCTGAAGAAATTTCCCCAGGGCCTGGCCGTGCTGCTGGTACTGAGCCCCGGACAGCTTGATGCCAACATCAAATGGAGCATTGAACTAGGAGATAGGGTGACGAGGGAGGTGTCAGAGGTTACACCCCACTCCCACCCTGGCACAAACACACCTCTCCACGGGAGGCACTGGCTGGGCTGTGCCCAGCAGATATACCAGGCAGCGCTTCCCACTCCACTTGAGTCTCCTCCTCCACCTTCGGGCTGCTCCCTCACTTTCTGGCCTCCCATGTTTTCTGGCCTTCACCTCGTGTGGGTTGTTGAGAAACACTGGAGTCTCCTAGTGTGTCCTCTTTTCTGGTTTTGGGGGACAGGAGATGGAATTGCTGCCAGGGGAATTTCAGACCCTAGCAGGGAGGCTTGGGGGTGCAGCATATCTACCCAGGGTGCAGGCTGCTAGCCTGAAAGGTCATCTGGCCTCTCCTTGCCCACCTTTCTCTTCTCTCTCTTTTTTTTTTTTTTTGGTCTTTTAGAGACAGGGTCTCGCTATGAGTTCAGGTTGGCCTTGAGCTCACTTTGTAGCCCAGGCTGGTCTCAAACTCACAACAATCCTCCTGCCTCAGCCTCCCAGGTGCTGAGATTACAGGCTTGTGCCACTGCGCCCAGCTCCACCTTTCTCTTATTGTCCTGCCTCTCTGCCTCCCTCAGTTCTTTCTCCTGTGGACACATGGGAAATCAAACTGGAAGCTGGCTGTTTCCTAGAAGGGAGCTTCCAGCCAGGTCCTTTCTTCTTTCTGCACCTCTGTTTCACCCTCCTTTGGGACAGTGTCTCTTTTCCCTGGTTTCTAGGCATTCTCTGAGATGGTTCATTGGAGGTCACAGCTTTTGGGGAGAAAGTAAAGAGCTCTGTGTGTGGCCATGTCATAGATCTTCCCTTGTGAGAGCAAGGGGCAAACTCTGGCTGTTCATCAGCGGCCACCTTGGGGCTGGTGTGTCGTCATTGGTGTCTGCATGTGTCTATGGAAGCTGCATAGTGCTGGGAGGAGCCTGGTGTTCTGGTCTCTTCCCATCCTCACAGTGAAGCCCAGGGAGGCCGTGAGACCTGCCCAAGGGTACAGGAGGGATTGGTGGCCAAGGACTGGAAAGCAGGATTCTGTGCCTACCCATTCCTGAATATGCAGGGCCCATGCTTCCATCAGCTGGGCACATGCTTGATTCCTGCTGCCACACCACACCACACCTTGGCACTCCTTGAGGCAGGGCTGTCCTGTCCACAGCTCACAGGCTTGGAAGTTCTGATGTGGAAACCACCACATCCCTTGCAAAATGTGTCTCACCCTGAAGGTTGTGGGGTGTGATTGGTGTCTTCAGGGAACTGGCGCCTCTTGTTCCTCCCTTTGGACAAGGCCTGTTTTCCTTCTCACCCTGGGCTGATAAGGGGTGATCACATCATCTGCCAGTCTCCCGAGGAAGCAGCTGGCTGGTCTGATGGGAGATGTGCCTCAAGAGACCCAAGCAAGGCCTGGAGCAGGTTGGTGGCCCATCTGTTCTGTGCAGGTCAAGTTTGTCTCAAAACTCTTGCAGTTCTGAATGTAATTTGGGAAGGGGGAAACTTTGAGGAAGATGGAGGAGCCTGAGATGAGGAGGTGGAGCCAGAATGGGAGGAGTCTGGTGGCGCTCAGCGCAGGCTGTGCTGTGGCCTCCCCAGTCCTTACTGATTGTACCCCCGGCTTCCAGGCAGACTTCGCTGGCTCTAGCCAAGGACGGCTGTTTCTCCAAGGCCAGTGACCATAGCACTAGGCTTCTCGGTAGCTGGCCTTGGCTTGGCACAGCTTCCCCACCTGAGCTAGCAGAGCTCCTTGCCAGGGGGAAGCCTCTTGCTGTGGGCCTGAGGGTTGCACGGCATGTAGGTGAGAGTCTGTTGACCAAGACTTTCACATTGTGGAGGAAGGCTGCTGTCTGGGGAGGGTCATGGAGGCCAGCCTTGGGTCCAGGCTGCCTTTCCTGTGACCAGGACTGGAGCAAAGGATGGGGACAGGGAAAGGAGTGGGGTAGGACTCCTCGGACAGCAGGATGGTGGGTTTGTAGTTGGCCCTGACCAGGGCCCTGATTGCACACCTCAGGCCCTCGAATTCCCCTCTCTGAACTGATATCCTGTCTACACGGGATGATAGTGCCATGCCTGCTACCTTGTGGGGTGTTGTAGAGGTTCAGTGACACATCATAAGGTAGGGTGTGGGCTGAGGGCTGTGGTAAGGCACTTGCCTACCATGGGCAGGCCCTGGTTTCGATCCTCGGTGCCCCAAAAATGAAAAGGGTAGAACGGCTTGAAAAAGAGACCACTGCACAGGTGAGAGGACGAGGCCTGGCCCTCCCTTCTGGCTTCAGGCGCTGACCCAGTGTTCCCCACCCGTCCTGTGCCCCTCCACCACTTGCTCTTGCAGCCTTTCCCTGACAGCGAGATGGAGCGGGGCCTGGGCTCCAATAGGCACAGTCAGCACAGCGCCCCTGCTGGAGACACCGGAAAGCTGCATCCTCAGGACAGCCCTGCCAGGCTGGGGCTAGCAGAGCTGTGGAACGAGGGTTCCTGGTCCCCACAGGTGGTTCTGCTGTGGCTGCAGAGGCTACAGCCCATCTCCGGTGATCCTGCCCCTCAACTCCACACAGCTCCCCAAATTCGAGGAGCTGCACTTGGCGAACAGTGCCCCTCTGGCTAGTCCAGGAGCAGCCCTGCCCCAGCACAGCCTCCAGGAAAGCCCCCCACAAGTCGTGCTGCCTGCTATGATCCTTGTCTGGGTGCCTGGGGGAGCAGGTTGCACTGAGGAAGAGGCAGTGACATGGAGGGCTGCAATCCAGTACCCTGGGAGGCTGAGGCAGGAGGACCGCAAGTTCCAACCCGGCCTGAGCAGTTCAGTGATTTAGCAAGATCCTGACTCAGAATGTTTAACAAGATGGACCAGGCATGGTGGCTCACACCTATAATCCTAGCACTTAGGAGGCTTAGGCAGGAAGATCACTGAGTTTGAGGCCAGCCTGGGCTACATAGTGAATTCAAGGCCAGCCTGCCTACTACATAGCAAGATCCTGTGTCACACAAACAAAGTTTAAACCAGGTATGCTGGCACACACCTGTAATTCCAGCACTAGGGAGGCTGAATCAGAAGGATCCCTGTGAGTTCAATGCCAGCCTGAACTGCATAGCAAAACACTGTCTCAAAAAGCCAAAAAAGAAAAGAAAGTTTAACAAGGGCAGGGGTGGTACTTAGTGTGAAGGCCCTGAGCGAAGGACCAGCACAGAGCAGGTGTCCTGGAGATCTGCAGTGATCAACAGAGGGAGTAGAAGTTGCTGGAAGAGCTCCAGAGAGCCTGTGAGGGCCATGAACCCAGCTGCTTAGGTGCAGATAGGGCTGACTGAGAGCCTAGAGCCTCTGACACCAAGGCAACTGCACTTCCCGTTTGTGACCGATCTGCATCAAGTGCAGTGTGATGGGCACAGCAGTGTAGCATTTGCCGCTGCTGGGTTCACCCCAGGGGACACCAGCCTCGATGAGTGAGGTGTGGCCACCTAAAGCTTCCAAGCCAGAGCCAGCCTCAAAGTGTTACAGACAGCCCCATCGAGTCCCTTTACTCCCTCCTGCTAATCCTTGCACCGTCTCTGCTGGTTTTCCTTCTGCCATGCAAGACTTGTCATAGCCAAGTGTTGTGGTACACTCCTATAATCCCAGAGCTCTGGGTGGCTGAGGCAGGAGGATCTCAAGTTTTAGCCCAACCCTATCACTTCAGTGACTTAGCAAGACCCTGTCTCAAAATAAAAAAGGGCTCATAGCTCAGAATAAAGGTACTAGGTTCAATTCCTGTTACCAAAACCAAACAAACCTGATCTACTTTGTCTACAGGTGGGGCGAGCAGCCTGCCCACCTGTGTGCATTTGTCTCCATGCACTCCATCCCCCCATTTAGGCCTTTGAGGCCCCCGCTGGTCCCTCTGAAACCTCCTGGCACGCCCAGTGCCTTTCCTCCCTAGCTCTGTCTTACACTCCTGCTCTCTATGGCAAAGTTACTTCTAGATATTTTTCTCTTGGGCAAAGACCTTGTGGAGTCCTGTGCAAAGCTGAGCTGTTGAGGCTAGTTTATAATTTCTGAGTAGCTTGTGGATAGGACTCTGGTCATACCGGCCTCCCTGCCAGTTGCCTGTCCCATGCCACGAGCCCCAAGCCCTTGGATCTGCGGGCACAAACCTGGATCTCCAGCTCGTCTTCTGCCTTGTCCTCTTGCCCTCTGCCCTTGGGGTGGAGCCAGTCTTCCAGCGCTCGGGGCTGTAGTTTGGCTGGGGGCTTCTTGGACTCCTTTCTCTGCTGGGAGGGAGAGGTCCTCTTTAGCCCCTTGGGCTAAAGCGTCCTGTGCTCTGGGAGGTGGCAGCTGCTGGTGAGCGGCAGGGTCTGCATATGGTCAGAATGTGGCCCCGGGGGAAAGGGCTCACCTGGGCTTTCCGATGTTCAGGGCTCAGGAAGCTGGAGCCGGCCATGGCCAAGTCCACCCAAAGCACACTGAGGAGCAGCAGGCTGCAGAGGGTCCCTGCTGAGATCATGCCTCCACCGATGGCACAGGTAGGCCTGAGGGGAGAGTCTCAGGCAGCCTGCCACCCCCTTGATGGGCCTGCAGGGACTTTCAGCCTAGACGTCTGACTGCTGAGGAGCAGGGGCCCCTCTGTGTACCCCAAGGTGGGAGAAAATGGAGGCTGTGAGCCGCCTTCCAGAACAGTGCTGGGAAGGAGGCTTCGCTAAGTTGTAGGACCTCTGTGGTGGATGGAGGCCGGAGCGTCTGCCCCTGACTGGTCTCCCAGGCCTAGAGGAGTCTGCTGGGATTTTCATCACGGGATGAGAAACCCAAACCAGCAAGATTCCCTGGGGATGTGGGGGATCGGGGAAGCTACCTGAGCAGCCAGCCTGACCTAGGCCATCTTGTTCAGATGTTCCTGCTGAGGCCCAGAGGAAAGAGAATGGCAGCAGTCACATGCAAGTTAAACCTGGACGTGCATGTGCACGCACAAAAGGAGTCAAGTGCTGCACCTACCTGGACTTCTGGGGCGCACAGGGGTGGTCTGTGCTATCCTTATATAGGAAGCCTGCTATTTGCTTTCATCCAGAGAGCCCATCTCCAAGGTGGCCCAGCTGCCTTGGGCTGACTGACATTCCCTGGAAACTAAAAACAACCTGTACCTCGGGAACCAACAGTGGACGTCAGGTGCCCACGAGATGACTAGGTTGGCATGGCACAGCATGTGTATGCCTGCCCCAGTTGATCCTGCTAAAGAGCACAAGCACATGGGTTTTTTTGTGGGTGGGGGTTTGTTTGTTTCCGTTTTTTATCTTTTTTGTCTTTGTGAGACAAGGTTTCACTGTATAGTTCAGGCTGGTCTTGAATTCACTTTGTAGCCCAAGCTGGCCTTGAACTAGCAGTGATCCTCCTGCTTCAGCCTCCTGAGTACTAGGATTACAAGTGTGAGCCTCCACATCCAGCCTGCTCTGGGGTTTTGCTTTGTTTTTTGCTGTGTTAGGGATAGAATCCAGGGCTTCATGTGTGCTTAGCAAGCACTCTGCGCTGAGCTGCACCCCTGGCCTGGCTGTTTTTCTGACAGCGGAGGCTGCTCCCTTGGTGAATGGTGCCCACTCTGGGGAGGGCCTGATCGCAGCTGGAGGTGGGAGTCTTGTGGCTCAGGGCTGGCTTAGGTCTTCCTGTGCTGTTGCCTTAGACAGGTCACATCCCTGACATCCCCCACGATTAAGGGCCTGCATCTCAGACCCCTTAAGGATTAGGGGGTGGGCAGCAAGGGTACTTCTAAAGAACCTGCCAGAAGGTAATGGTGGTGTTACCCACACCCTGAGACTTGGGAGGACCTGCCTTGCCATTGCCTCAAGATACCAGCAGCCTGGGATCCTGACTTCCCGAGCATTATCACATTGATGTCTGGTCAAAGTGTGCTGTCTTACAGGACCCCAGCTCTCTGGAGGGATGTGCGCTGGGCTGGCAGGGCCAAAGGTGGGAAAGGCTGTGGCAGGGGAGGTGTGCCGAGAGGGGTGGGGGGGCTCCAGGCCTGGCACGGGAGGGTGGGGCACTGTGGAAGGGCTGAAGGGTGGTTTGGGTTAGCTCGTGGACGCTCCTGCAATCTGCCAAACCCACAAGTGGAGAGAGGCCCAGGGAAGAGACAGAACTGTGGTGTTAACCAAGAGTTGAAAAGTCTTCAAGCCCTGGAAGCTGAACCCTTTATTTCACTGGAAGGTAAACTGAACGCCAAAAGGTCCATGCTTCCCCCAGAGCCATGCAGGTCTCAGGCACATCCCATGCCTTGGCCATCTCACACCCCAACTCCTGCTTCAATGTCTTCTGATCAGCCATCTCCTCAGCCAGGAGTACAATGTCCCCTGCAATGGGCCAGGACAGTGTGTCAGGGTGGGAGGATGTTGGCAGCATAGTCAACCCCCAGATGACCATGTGACCTACCAGAAGGACTGAAGGTAGGGTGGAAACTGGGGACAGCTGGAAGCAGAGGCTGGGATGGGCCATAGCTCTCAATAGAACAGGGGACTAAGAAGCTCATGGTGAAGGAGAGTCCATCTTTAATTCCAGAAGAGCAGTACAGCACCAGGAGCCTTGGGACTCTGTCCCCACCTGAACTCAGCCCTCTGTCCTCGAGATGGAGACTGGGGAGAGAAATCTGAGGCCCTCAGAAGAGACCCAGAGACTTTTCCAGACCACATCCAACCCTCTCCAAACAGAGCTCCCCGAACTATGGTGACAAGAGGCTGCTGGCATGCAGGGGCAGCTGCCTCCGTGGGAGGCTTCAGGCAGGAGCTGCCTATATCTCTGAGACACGCACCCTCCAGCAAGCACCCTCGAGCAAACACTGAGGCCCCATTTATCTCAGAGCAGTATGGCCACCCGGAGTGGTGCCTGGCCGCATGCCTCGGAGTCCAGAGTGATGGAGGTGCCAGAAGAGAGGAGGTGCCCAGAAGGCTGCGCTGCCTCCCACAGCTGTTGGAGGGAATGGAAGTGGGGTTCCCCGGGCCTCAGGAAGGCTGGCCTGGGGTGAGGCTATGAGGCTGTTTGCAGGCTCTGTCAAACCTAGATAATGACCTGGCCCTGGCCAGCAGCTGCTTCTGCAGCCCAGCAGGATTGGGTGGGGTTGGTTTCTCTCTCCCCTGCTGTTTCCTGAGAAGCTGCCCCATGTGGGCAGAGGCCCTGTCACCGCTCAGCTCAGCGTTGCATGTGCATGTTGCCTGAGGACAAGTTGTCTGTTCACTTTGCACTACACTGTGCTGAGAATTAGTTGGTTCACCATGCACTTCTCCCTCTGTGGCACTGGGGAGCAAGCCCGTGTGTATTGTACCACTAAGCTGCATCCCGGCCCCTTTTATTTTGAGATAGAGCTTGCTGGGTTGAACTTTTGCTGTTTCTGCCTCAGCTTCCCAAATAGCTGGGATTATAGGTGTATGCCACTGTGTCTGGCTTACTTTTAAATCAGTTCAGCCAAACTTTAGTCTGACTGAGGCCATATGAGGTTATGAAAGAAGTTTTATTCCTGAAGTTTGGGCTTGGTGGTTTCTTTTTCTCCTGATGCCCATGACTTTCAGATTGGCACTTTCTAATAGAAATGTAATGCTATCTTCCTCGGAACATAGTAAATATTCTAGTTTATTCTAATAAACTATTCTAATAATACAGCTAATATCTGTCCCTCGGAACATAGTAAATATTCTAGTTTATTTAGCCAGTATATCAGTTCAGGGTAACATTTATTAACAGAATATTTGACTTGTTAAAATCTGGAGCTTTGAAGTCTATCAGTTTGATACTGGCAGCACATCTGGGTCAGAGCAGTTGTGCGAGTTTCCCTAGCTATGCCAGCCCCCGTGCTGGGTAGTGCTCTTCTGAGTCCCCTCTCTGAGGCTGCTCCTCTTGTCCTACTTTCCCTTTCCGCTACCATGCCCCGCCCAGCCTCTCTTTTCCCTTCCCTCTTAAGGCTTTGTGCTTGCTTGCTCTGCCCCACTTTGCCTCCAGGTCTGAGGTGCTCTGGGGTGAGCCCTGTGGGGACTGTGGGCTCTCAGGTGGGGTGAGGCCCAGCTCCTGGCCACAGGCCTGTTCGGCTCACTGGATACTGAGGAAATGGTGAATGCAGACTTTTAAGGTCTTATCCAGTCAGTCTAGATGGGGCACCCAAATCTGTATTTAACAAGTATCTCAGGTAATTATTTTCTGATTTTAAAATACTGGCCCCATGCGCCCTGCACCCAGACAGCGAGTACTCCGGGAGCTGCAGGGCTTGTGGGTTTGAGTCTGTGCTCAACCCACACCACCACGAATCCGAGCTGAAATGCATGGAGAGAGCCAGGTATTTCCCATCAAATCAGCAAGGATCCAAGAAAAGTCAATTCAACAGGGCAGAATGAGCGAACAAGGACCCCGTGGACATTACAGACTGAGTCACTGTGGCAACAGAGAGGAGGTCCGGACTGAGAGGCCCCAGGGACTTCTCTGGCTAGGGGCTGGGTGAGCAGACTCTCTGAGCCCCATGTGCCCTGCTCTGAGAGAGCAAGTATTCCAGGAGCTGCAGGCCCCTGGGTTTGAGTCTGTGCTTTGCCTTTGCCCAGACCCTCTAGCGAGTTGAAGGCTGAGGAAGTCTGTGACTGCTACCCATCTGGGCTGCATCTCGTTCCTGTATGAGTCCTGAACTGACTAGAGACGTAGATTTAGGTGGTTCACAAACTGTAGACCCTGCAGTTTGTATCTAAATCATGCCTGTACCCGAAACTGCCTGGAGACATAGGTCCACTGGACCAGGATTGTCACACCAGTGCAACCTGAGTCAGGTTGTGCATGTGCACTGAACTGCAAGGGAACGCTGGATCAGAAGGTCAGCCATCAACTGACACGAGTGCCCATGTCTGAGAATGGGGATAACTACATACAAATCAAAAACTGCCAGAAAACCCGAGGTTAAGTAGCGCTACTCAGAGGTCACCCAGTTGCAAACCTGATCAACAGGAAAAA